GATATACCTCCGTCGTATATTTGGTCTTTCTTGTTGTAGAGTGTGATCATCATATCTTTAATATACCTCCGTCGAAAAATGTGACCTTCTCATTGTAGAGTGTGACCTTCACACCTTATATATACCTCCGTCGTAGATTGTCACCATCTCCTTGTAGAGTATGACCTTCATTCCTTAAATATACCTCACGTGACCTTCATACCTTATATATACCTTCCGCTGTAGAGTGTGACCTTCATACCTTATATATACCTCCCGTTTTAGAGTGTGACCTTCACACCTTATACCTCCCGGACCTTCAAACCTTTTACGTACCTCCCTTTGTAGAGTGTGACCTTCTTATTGTAGAGTGTGACCTTCTCGTTGTAGAGTGTGACCTTAATACTTTTAATATACCTCCTGTTGTAGAGTGTGACTTTCTCGATGTAGATAGTGACCTTCACATCTAATATATACCTCCGTCGTAGATTGTCACCATCTCGTTGTAGAGTGTTACCTTCATTCCTTTCATATACCTCCCGTGGTAGAGTGTGACTTTCTCGGTTTAGATTGTGACCTTCACACCTTATATTTACCTCCTTCATAAATTGTGAACTTCTCGTTGTAAAGTGTATACCTCCGTCGTAGATTGTGACCTTCTCGTTGTAGATAGTGACCTTCACACCTTATATTTACCTTCCGCTGTAGAGTTTGATCTTCCTTATATATACCTCCCGTTGTAGAGTGTGACCTTCACACCTTATATATACCTCCCGCTGTAGAGTGTGACTTTCATACCTTATATATACCTCCCGCTATAGAGTGTGACCTTCATACCTTATATATACCTCCCGTTGTAGAGTGTGACTTTCCGGATGTAGAGTATGACCTTAACACCTTATATATACCTCCGTTGTAAATTGTGACCTTCTCGTTGTAGAGTGACTTTCACACCTTATATATATATTTGTCATAGATTGTGACTTTTCGTTGTAGAGTGTGACCTTCATACCTTTAATATACCTCTGTCGTAGATTGTGACCTTCTCGTTGTAGAGTGCGACTTTTTCGTTGTAGTATGTGACCTTCAATATTTATATATGACCTCTGTCGTGGATTGTGACCTTTTCGTTGTAGAGTGGGATTTATCGGTATAGAGTGCGACTTTTTCGTTGTAGTATGTGACCTTCAATACTTATATATACCTCCGTCGTAGATTGTTACCTTCTCGTTGTAGTTGTAGAGTGAGACCTTAACACCTTATATATACCTCCCTTTGTAAAGTATGAAGTCTACCCTGTATACCACTCTCAATATACTCTGTACACCACTTCATAGATACTGTGCATACTAATCTTTATATACTCTATATACCACTCTCTTTATATACTGTGTACCACTCTCTTTATATACTGTGTACCTCTCTCTTTTTATATTGTGTACCACTCTCTTTTTATACTGTGTACCACTCTCTTTATATACTATGTACCACTCTCTTTATATACTGTGTACCGCTCTCTTTATATACTGTGTACCTCTCTCTTTTTATATTGTGTACCACTCTCTTTATATGCTGTGTACCACTCTCTTTATATACTGTATACCACCCTCTTTATATACTGTGCACCACTCTCTTTATATACTGTGTACCACTCTTTTTATATACTGTGTACCACTCTCTTTATATCCTGTGTACCACTCTCTTTATATACTGTGTATCACTCTCTTTATATACTGTGTACCCCTCTCTTTATATACTGTGTACCACTCTCTATATATACTGTGTACCACTCTCTTTATATATTGTGTACCACTCTCTTTATATACTATGTACCACTCTCTTTATATACTGTGTACCGCTCTCTTTATATACTGTGTACCTCTCTCTTTTTATATTGTGTACCACTCTCTTTATATGCTGTGTACCACTCTCTTTATATACTGTATACCGCTCTCTTTATATACTGTGTAACGCTCTCTTTATATTCTGTGTACCACTCTCTTTATATACTGTGTCCCACTCTCTTTATATACTGTGTACCACTCGCTTTATATACTGTGTACCACTCTCTTTATATATTGTGTACCACTCTCTTTATATACTGTGTACCACCCTCTTTATATACTGTGTACCACTCTCTTTTTATATTGTATACCACTCTCTTTATATACTGTGTACCACGCTCTTTATATACTGTGTATCACTCTCTTTATATACTGTGTACCACTCTTTTTATATACTGTGTACCACTCTCTTTATATCCTGTGTACCACTCTCTTTATATACTGTGTCCCACTCTCTTTATATACTGTGTACCACTCTATTTATATATACTATGTACCACTCTCTTTATATACTGTGTACCCCTCTCTTTATATACTGTATACCACTCTCTTTCTATACTGTGTACCACTCTCTTTATATACTCTGTACCACTCTCTTTATATACTGTGTACCGCTCTCTTTATATACTGTGTACCTCTCTCTTTATATACTGTGTACCACTCTCTTTTTATATTGTATACCACTCTCTTTATATACTGTGTACCACTCCCTTTATATACTGTGTACCACTCTCTTTATATATTGTGTACCACTCTCTTTATATACTGTGTACTATATACTGTGTACCACTCTCTTTATATATTGTGTACCACTCTCTTTATATACTGTGTACCACCCTCTTTATATACTGTGTACCACTCTCTTTGTATACTGTGTACCACTCTCTTTATATACTGGGTACCACTCTCTTTATATACTGTGTACCACGCTCTTTATATACTGTGTATCACTCTCTTTATATACTGTGTACCACTCTATTTATATACTGTGTACTACTCTCTTTATATACTGTGTACCACTCGCTTTATATACTGTGTACCACTCTCTTTATATAATGTGTACCACTCTCTTTATATACTGTGTACTATATACTGTGTACCACTCTCTTTATATAATGTGTACCACTCTCTTTATATACTGTGTATCACTCTCTTTATATACTGTGTACCTCTCTCTTTATATACTGTATACCACTCTCTTTATATACTGTGTACCACCCTCTTTATATACTGTATACCACTCTCTTTATATACTGGGTACCACTCTCTTTATATACTGTGTACCACTATCTTTATATACTGTGTACTACTCTCTTTATATACTGTGTACCACTCTCTCTATATACTGTGTACCACTCTCTTTATATACCGTGTACCACTCTCTTTATATACTGTATACCGCTCTCTTTATATACTGTGTAACGCTCTCTTTATATTCTGTGTACCACTCTCTTTATATACTGTGTGCCTCTCTCTTTATATACTGTGTACTACTCTCTTTATATACTGTGTACCACTCGCTTTATATACTGTGTACCACTCTCTTTATATCCTGTGTACCACTCTCTTTATATACTGTGTACAACTCTCTTTTTATATTGTGTACCACTCTCTTTATATACTGTGTACCACTTTCTTTATATACTGTGTACCACTCTCTTTAAATACTGTGTACCACTCTCTTTATATACTGTGTACCACTCTCTTTATATACTGTGTACCACTCTCTTTATATACTGTGTACCACTCTCTTTATATACTGAATACCACTCTCTTTATATACTATGTATCACTCTCTTTACTCTGTATTCCACTCTATATATTTTCTGTATACCACTCTTTATGTGCCCTGTATACTACTATTTATAATCTGTATACAATCCTATAAAAAGACTTTTACATTAAACAGGAGGCAGGGCTAGGGCCTGTCTATTGGGCAAATCCTGATAACATAATTGTATCTGAATCGATCGTCATGTTCAGCAATTATACATGTATTAAACATTAAACAACTGTCATTGCAGCAAATTTGGCGCAAATATTCAGAATTCGTATGCAAATTAGTTTTCTTGCAAATAGTTGCAGCAACTTTGCCGCAAACAGTTGCTGCAACATTGCCGCAATCAAATGCTGCAACTTTGCCGCAAACAGTTGCTGCAACATTGCCGCAAACAAATGCTGCAACTTTGCCGCAAACAATTGCTGCAACATTGCTGCAAACAGTTACTATAAATAAAACAAAAGACAAAAAATTAATTAATTGGTTTTTAATGAATAATTCAAAAACTCACTTGATTAAAAACTATTTACATCCTGTACAAAAAAGTAGACACTGACTTAAGAGCAGGAATATGCATGGTAATTTCACGAAAACACAGGTGGATATTTTAGTTGTTTTCCATAAGGTTTGTACTGTATCCGCTTGGAATTGATGGAAATACACCTGGGAAACAGGCACGTAATATTTATTTACACCAATTTGCGCAAGTTTGCTGGCAAGTTTGCTGCAAACTTTATGTTTCTGTAAGGGTGGTGTTATATATATTATTGACACTGAAGATGGGTCTGAAACAACGTTAGTACATATGTACATGAATGTGTATTACCAATCTGAAACAATAAATAAATGTATAACCTAGAGTAAAATTGTTATTTTAAATTCTTGTGAATTGCATGCATGTGTAATAATTGTGAAAATTGGTGTAATTAATGTCTGCTGATAATATAAACATTTAATCCACATAAATTTATTGTTAAAAAGAGTTATAAGTAATTTTACAAGCATTGTTTAAAGTGTTTGAATTCAGGAACCCGCTATCAAAGGCTTCTGACCGTTTTTGTAGGTGTAGTAATTCAATTTCATAAAATTACTGAAAATAAAAGAAAATCAGGGATGACAATAAAGATCTAAACATTTTAATGACTACTGTAAACAGTAAGTTTTACATGCGGGAATTATGTTCCTTCCGCTGTGAAATACATAGTAATAACCCTTTCTCCACCACTTACCCCTATATACATCCTATTTCTTAACTAGTTGTATATTTGTTGACACTGAACCTCTACTTTCACTTTCACATACTTCATTTCCGGAATACCGATGGTTTGCCGGAATATCACCATTCGGAACACCTTGGCCCTTTACATGGCAACGTGCCAATGTAACGTAAACGTATAGCTGCCATGCGCAATGGGTACTTTCGGTTTGTAGACAACATTTCCTCAAGCTTTGCCAGGTTTGTTTGCTCGTTTTCATATTTGTTTGGTATATGGTCCTGATAGGTAGTTCATTATACTATTTACTGTTGAAGAATAAGACGAATGTCGTGAACGTTTGTATATTACAAGTGTAGTGTTAAGGTACATGTAAACACTGATAACTCGTGACAGCAGATAGGTGTACCCGAGGCACACATGTTAGTATGTACATGTACCCGACGTTCTTATAAGCACACTTATTGGATTTATAATGTTAATGGGTCAATCAAAAGTTGTGTTTAATTCCTACATTCCCTTTATCATTAATATAGCGCTATTTCTTTTAATATACCTTTGTCGATGATACATGCACATCGTGTGCAGGCATCAACAATATACAGCATTTTAATTTATAACAACACATTTGGTCCATTTTGTTTGATATTCAACAGAATCATGGCAGCTGCGGTTGACCGGTACCTCTTTGTGGCTGCGATAGACTTTGGAACGACCTATTCGGGATATGCCTTTTCCAGTAAAGATGCTTTTGAAGAAGATCCATTGAAAATAAGTACGAATAGTTGGAACTCTGGTTCGGACTTATCTTACAAAGCTCCGACAGCGTTGCTGTTAACACCAAAAAAAGAGTTCAAGTCGTTTGGTTATACGGCTGAAACAGACTATACCCAGATGGCAGAAGATGGGGCCGATTTAAGCAAGCATTATTATTTCCATCGCTTCAAGATGCTACTTCACAACAATAAGGTGTGTTAATTTATGTAACCATACAGGTATATACGTGCATAGCCCGAGTTTCCTCTGACCATGACACCAGACTTAGACACTTCGATGTCTGGTTGGTCCGAATTATTCTGACGTTTTATCGACTTTTTTTTATATCAGTCTGTCGTTGATTAACGTCAGACCTCCAGCCCTCTATAATATGCGGGAAATAAGCGACCCGCGCCCAGGTCGCACTTCAAACTGATGTTTTAGATACAAATCGTCACTTTCACACACATGTCGCACATGGATCGAAAGATCTATTCTTTATGCACTAGGTGGTATCAATAACATGTTTCAAAGATCATTACAAACAGTATTTTCCAACGTTTTCTATACAAATTAACCCATGTTTTTAATGGAAATTAGGGCATGAGCAATGTCACATGACTGGATGAGATCTTGCATTACCCAAGGTATTTCCCAACGTTATGACGTAGGCCGGCGAGATTTTAGTCACATGGCACTAGAGCAAAACAGAGTAAGTTTGAAAAAATATGTTTTTAGTGATTGTATTGGTTGTTTGAGGCATGTAATTTATGTTCATCTTGTGCATAAAGAATATCCCGCATATTATAGAGGGCCGGAGGTCTGCATTAATCGACGACAGACCGATATAAAAAAAGTCGATAAAACGTCAGAATAATTCAGACTAATTTCTGGTGTGGGCCTTAATGTATTTTAAGTCTGGTGTCAGGGCCAGAGAAAACTCGGGCTAATACTTGCACTGTGCAACATTGATGCACCGTTTTCATTAAATGTACCTGTCAGAAAGAAATTGAACACAGCCAAAAATATGCACAATGTTCACAAAAATGATTCGGTATACATGCATATTTCAAATTTTGAAGCAAGAAAAGTTTTTCTAATTGCGAATGATAACCATGCTATACATGCTGAAACAAAATTGCATGTTTTTGTATTCTGTTTGTTTAATTGTTTAATAGTAAGTTTTCAATAGAAGAAGTGCATGCACACTTGATTATGGGAGAAGAGTGAAGACGATTATTTTTCACTACATTGTTTTCTGATAATTGATCTGAAATCTGATTAAAATAATATCCTACATTCACTACGTATCCTAACGTGATACGTAGTGAATGTAGGATATGATTTTAATCCGATTGATTCATCTTGTATGACCTTTACATATTTATCTGGTATGACCTTTACATATTTATCTGGTATGACATTTACATATTTATCTGTATGAGAAATGTGGACTGTCCTTGTTCTGCGGTTAAAGATATATATCGGATCATTTATTTATAGAAATGTTCGGTAAGATACAATGTCACTTTGCAAACGAAGTAAACTAGTCGACAAGTGATGAAAAAACCTGTTGTTATAATGCATTCCAGGAATATATATAAATATGCGTATATCATATCTACACAATTCGGGCAAAGAATATTATAATGATATTTGTAATTAGAGGAAAATGACAAAGTCTTGCTTGTTATGTTTTAGATTCACATACAAAAATATTGCACTTCAACCAAAATTTAAAGCATCAACTTCAACTGCTTGTTTTCATTGTATGTTTTATTTTCATATATTTTGACTACCTTATTTTAAAAATATCCATGTAACACAACCAAAAAGTGTTTATGCGTGACGCTTCGATGACTAGTACGGTATGTACTCTGTCACCTTCATCAGTTTTTGTCTAATGAAGGTGACAGAGTACATGTACATACCGTTCTAGTCATCGAAACGTCACGTATAAACACTTTTTGGTTGTGTTACATGAATCTTTTCACAATTCATACTTACAAATATGTACCAACCTGTAGAAAATGTTAAGAAATACATGTACCTTCTAATTAGTTAGTTTTACTGTGATGATATCCTGTTTATTGAATAACCAATTGATATACCAATGTGACAGCATATATTTACCAAAGGGGGATAACTTATCTTCATGTCTTGGTATTTGCTCAGAGAAGTTAGATCGACAATGTATCACAATGTTTTTGATTGATGTTATTCGATGCCTTTCCTTCACAGAACCTAGGAAAGAAAACCAAAATAACAGACGAGACTGGTAAATCCTTTCCGGCATTCGATGTATTCGTACATTCGATACGATACCTCAAAGACCACGTGTTTCATGCTATTAAGAATAGCTTCACAGATCTGTTAGAGAAGGACATGAAATATGTACTGACAGTTCCCGCCATTTGGAACGACAACGCCAAGCAGTTTATGCGAGAGGCAGCAGCCGAGGTAAGCAGTGGTTGCGAAATCAATTACTGTAGAATTTCCCTGGTTAGTGGTGGTTAACTATCTTGGTTTTACTCGTAACACTAGTAAGTTTAAATTCCCTTTAATTAGATACCAGATTAACTAGCCTTTGTCGCTGTGTTGTGACGTCATATTCAGCAGGGCGTTGACTATTTTCTAGTATATTGACAATACATTATCGCATTTGACTTTGCTGCTTCGTATTTGTTTATTTTGTATTTTCTTTGGTATGTTTCAAATTGCAACTGGCGTTTCAACTTAACAAGAATCCAACAAGGCTGAGTTCACAAGCCAGGCCTAATCAACTCTGTTTTAACCTGTTTTTAGGGCATAAAGGTAAAAGCATGATACATGCCTTTTCACCTTCGGTCAGTCTTGTTGGCTTTAAGCTTAGGCCTAGTTATTATATATATATCCAATGGAAAAGCAAGACACGATTCTTGATTTTCGAAGCATTTACATACATTTTTTCTCGATAATAAGTACTTCAGTAGCACGAGTTCCTTCTGGCACTGACACCAGACTCAGACATAGATGACACCAGACAACTGTCTGTCAAAATGTCTAGTCTGGTGTCAGGGCCAGAGGAAACACAGGCTAGTACTTCAGGAGTACCTGTACAGGTACATGTGGTCTGCATGTGTGAAAAATAATCTTATTTTGAAATGGCACTTTTCAGACAAAATCAACTTTTTATCAACAGTTTCACCTACATGTATGGTCTTAATTTAAACTGTTCGTAATACTCGATTTTCAAACTAAAATTATTTGGAAGCAAAATGATGAACTCAAAACATGTTTTCTGCACTAACATGTGCCCGAATGAAATACCTAAAATATGCTAGTTTGCCCCATAGCTTTAAATCTTATTTGTATAGAGAAAACAGCATGGTTCAGTTGAAATAGAATACTTTTTTTTTGCTTTTTTTCTAAATTCTCGACTCGTCAAAATAATAATGAACTGCTGTGAGGTGGTTTTCCGGGAATCATTTATCATTTGTAAACTAATACGGAAGGTTACATGTAGATGTTTAAGTTAAAAAACATGAATCCGTCTTTGTCTTTAACTATAGGCTGGGATAAAGGGAACCCAGTTGATGATCGCCTTGGAGCCTGAAGCAGCCTCCATCTATTGCCAAACCCTACCATCAGAGACAGTTTACAACCGAACTTTCCTAAAAGCTGCAAATTCTGGATCAACTTACATGGTAGTGGATCTGGGCGGTAAGAGATAACTCTAGTTAAGTCTTAACTTCTTGACCATTCTATAAAGTACATGTATAAGGTACTCTGATATTCTTACAATGAACTTGTAATTTCGGTATGTACTCGGGATAACACTACTCATATTATATTGTTATTTGCTAACATACAAAGACGATATATATTTTTGCATATAATGTCAAAATGTTTAATTATTTTGAAAATGATGTGATAAGAAAACAATTTCCGTCTGGATAATTTTAAAATTATAGTTTATATATATATTTATGATTATGATTTTAAAATATTTGGAATTATAATTCAGATGTATAAGTAATTAAAATTTAGATATCTGTGTAATTTCATTTAATGTATATTGAAATCATTGCAGGAGGAACAGCTGATATAACTGTTCACCAACGTCAAGGCGACAGAACCCTGAAGGAGTTACTGCCAGCCACAGGAGGGGCTTTAGGCGGCAAAAGTGTTGACGATGAATTCTGGAGATTTTTAGGGCAAGTTGTTGGAGAGAAAAACTTGGCATTGATGAAAAAAGAAAGTATGGAAGACTATATAGATTTAAGCAGGCAATTCGAAACAAAGAAACGTGAAATAACTGTTGAAGGGGAACGAAACGTCTTGTTCACACTACCAGTGACCTTACTTGATATCATCAAAAGGGACAAACAGAGACAAACTATAGAAAAAGCCATTCAAATCAGCCCATTCTCTCATACTGTAGAACTGAAAAGGAAAAAACTGTCGATCAACGTCGGACAATTCCGTGGACTGTTCTCGAAGACGATCAACGGAATTTTATCCCACATGGAAACCATCCTGTATAAACACAAGTTTAAACATATCCAACACATTTTGATGGTTGGAGGATTTTCAGAATGTCTACTCTTACAAAGCGCAATTAGAAAAAGACTTAATCAGAAAGTAATTGTCGTTCCAGACGAGGCTGGCCTTGCTGTCCTCAAAGGTGCGGTGTTGTTTGGACATACTCCAAGGGCTATCAGCTGTAGGGTAGCCCGATATTCTTACGGCACCCAAAGCTGGCCTACATTTAACCCGAATGTACATCCAGAAAAGAAGAGAGTTGTGATAAACGGAGTATCTCGATGCAAGGACGTATTTTTCAAGTTCATCGAGGCTAACCAGGAGCTCGTCCCTGGACATCGAGAGTCACAAGTCTTCCAACCACTCAATTTGACCGAAAATTTTCTCGAATGTACTGTGTATGCCTCCCCTCTGGTTGATCCTATGTTTACAGATGAAGATGATTGTATCGTCTTGGGAGTTCTGAGGATTCCTCTTAATCCCAAAAGGAAGAAGAATTTGAAGATAGAAGAAACTCTGATATTTGGAGAGACAGAACTTGCTGTGCAAGCAAGAGATATCGAGACTGAGGAAATCTACGAGACACAATTCAATCTTCTGTATGTGATTTGCAACGTAGTCTCCACAGTTTCGACACTGTAATATAAAAGTTACAAAAATTGTTTCTCATGACAAATTTTTCCTACATTTGACTTGTTTGACGATGAAATGTAGTCAGTCATTACTGTTATTATCTTAGTACCTTCGTCGTTTTAATGGAAATAAAACAAGTCAAATTAAAAATAAGATGTAAAAAAAAAAAAATCTATTGAGTCTTAATTTCCCGTTGATATAAACAGAATGTGAACATTGTCCTAGTATTTTTTATAGAGTTTAGTATTCATCTTCAACAAATACATAATACATTTGTGAAGCATAACATGTATGATATTCTTTAACTGTTTGTAGTTCAGAAAATAAGGCAGATGCATTCTGTTCAAACTTCAGCAGATTTTTGAAAGGTTTACTTCAATCAAAAGAATGCTTGTTTAGTTCAGCATATTTCATTTTGGCAAATTCTATGTATACTGATGTTAAGGTGAATTCACATATGTTTGACTTACTTCATCTTTGAATGTTTATTATATAATATCACAGTTAACGAGACACCCCTTTGTAAGTATATGACGTCACACTAGCATTTTAATTGTATGATTTTTGTTGTATTGCAGGAAGGACGGGACATAGTTATAGACTGCTGCATACAACGGAGGAGGTGAAATTGAGACAAATTGAAGACAATGGAGACAACTTGACCTTCAAGAATCAATGGAACAAGTCTGCGTTTTGAATGCAAACGTAATACAAGTTTTCTGCATTCAACAACCATCGTTAGGAGACATTCACTTTGAATGTCCAGGACGCTGACCCATGACTTGGAAAACAAACACAACTGTTCACATAGCACTTTTCAATATGAAATATGAAAGTTGTGAAATGAGTTTCGGAATGCAGTCTTCAGGAGTTTAGAAGACTATGTCTTACGAATTAAAACCCAATGAGTGCACATGAAGAACATTCAAACAAAAGAACAAAGCAGTTAAAAATAAATATAAAAATAACAAGTATTGTTATGAAATGCAGAAAAAACGGAAAGAAAAACTTGTCAGTTCCGAATACATCTCTCTTGAATTTGTACATGTGTATTCGATATAGAAAACACATTTTTTGTATATGCACCACGTGCACATCGTTAAAGTAATATCAAACTTGTATAACGTAATGTCACTCAAAGTAATAATAGGTTGTTTCACATTACCGACACGAAAGAGAACACGATGTGCAAAACCAACACAGAGTACAGCCATTCCGGAGTGATTGTAGCCAAACTCCGAACGGTATATCTTTGCAACAAACCTCTTGGAAGTTCATGATGCTACGTTTGCGTACGTGACAAAAGCCGTTTCCCTTCAGGTACGGCAGTTGACTTGACCCAATGTGTAAATTTTGTGTAGTTTGGACCACATACATAATGTATATTAGGGTTGAGGCTAATTTTACTATTTCTGTGATCATTGTCACAGACAGTCGTGCCGTCGCATCGGTTCGTCATGACAACGGGACAGATTAATTGTCGGTGAATTGAAAAACGTTGTGACTATTGTGTGTGTTTTTGGTGCTTAATTTTAGAGATCATCTACACACATGCAATTGATTGTAAATAAACTGCACTTGTATGATCGTAATTCAACATTTTATCATAAATATAATTGTATTTGTGAAAATGTATGATTACAATTGATAGGGAATTCGAATATTTAAAACCTGTATCAAATGCGGCAATACGGGTTCCTTTTACATGTCTTTTTCGCAAATTCTTATTTTAAATATTTATTAACCAATGATCATCTTGAGTTGTTGTTTGTACTCTGCATCACGATATCAGCCTGTCTATTTATAAGACCTAAAACATGGTGTGTTTTTTTCTCATATTCGTCCGATGTATCAATAACTGTATTAATTATGGAAGTTATTTCATAAGACTTTGCTCTATAGATCAATCTATAAATATTTATATTTCATAAGACTTTGTTCAATAGATCAATCTATAAATATACCTGACAAGATTAATGTACATTTATGTTGATCATCAGATGATCAGGTAGATGGCAGATGATTGTACACATGTTCACCAATTCAGAAATGAACGGCCGAAGCACGAGACGTAGATCAAAGATTTTGATTCAGCGCGGTTTAATTCGTCTAAACCCCTTGAAACATTATGGACTTGGTCCAACTATAATGATTGTATTGAGTCAGCTGTAGTACCTGAGGGGAAACGGCTGCGGTCAAGTATAGCATCCCGGACATTAAACACGTGTTTGCAAAATTTAACCGTTCGGAGATTGGATCAACCATGTTAACTTAATTGTCGCTATAAACGGTTGGTGGGTTGATCATTAGTTGTAAAGAGTTTAGCATCCAATCCTCATGAGCACTGCCTGATATAGTCGTGTTTTCCTGTGACACAAACTTGCAACGAATATTTCTTGATACATTTCATGCAGGCAATCTTTGTACTTTACTCATTAAGTTGACATTGTCGGATGCAGTGTTGTTCTCTATGAACTTATTATTCTTTTTCACATTTAATTGTTTATGTAATAATTGCGTCCTTTTGTGATATCGTTAGGATCACCGTGACCCCATTCCAGCTGGTACATGTAGGTGATTATATGACCAATAAACAGAAATGTTCAGGAAGAAAAGCAGGAAATGTAGTTGTTGATCGATTTATGTCGGAACTCTTTATTTAATAATTCACCGTATTATAAAAGTAACAACATATAGTTTTTACTTTTACGTAAATACATGTACTCAACAAAACACCATGGAAGTGTGCGCGTCACTTACCCTTAATTACAATCATGCTCACTGCAAAAGACATTCAAACATTACCCGAGAGTGCAATGTTAAAATGTTTGATAGCATAACGCTTTAATATTCTGGATACTGATTCAAACAATTGTTTTGGTTACACTAGACTTTCCATAAAACTACAAAGGTACTACTGATTATTAAAAAGGTAGCGCAGGGGTCAGTATTAGCTTAATTGGTTGTAAAAACTCGATCTAGAACTGAATTAATAAATATGTAATATGTACAATGTGTTCTGTTGGCGTTAACATTGTTCCTTTTCCAGGTGACTGTTTATGTGGATGTGTGCCAACACTAACTGTGCAGTTCTATAGAGAACAAGAGTAGCAGAAATAGAAAAAACGTACAAGTCCCTCGTTCTTAATATTTCTCTGATGAGTTAAATGATTGCCTTCATTCAAATCCGTATGCATGTACATTAAAGAAAGGATTTGATTTGTTTTGGTTTAGTATTGTTTAACGTCCCATCAACAGCTATGGTCATTAGAAGTCGCTGCATTAGCGATATCAGAGAAGTAAGATAAATGGGTGAGATATTCAGGATATAGGACAGCATGCGGTATACTCTTATTCTCATTGTCTACTAAAACCCTTGAGGTCAAAATCTGAAGGTGACCAAAGATAGTCAGGTCTGTGTAATCGAAATTATAATGCAGAACAGCTTTGCTTATATTCAGTTTGTCGCCAATAAATGTATGAAGGTAATATGATTGCTCATGATGTGCATGTGTGCTACACGTGTGTATGGAGGCTTTTATTATTATTTTACTTACTTTCTGTTTTGAAATGCATATAATATGATACATGTATCACGATGGTACTAAATGGTTAAACAAAACAGAAAGTATTTGTAATAGTAAGCTTACATACATATATGTAGAACACCTACTACCTATATTTGTGGTAATACGTCATGTTTTCAATCATGTCAATGTGAAACTAATATTAAATACGAGCAGCATAAGGAACGAGTCCCTTTTAGCATCATGCAGCTTTTTTTCATATCTATATACGAGTGTCTCAATACTAACTATGAAAAATGGATCCTATTTGTGTTTTTATAACAACTGTTTTGTGACTTGTTGTTATCTAATTTGACAAGTATAAGTTCTGAAGATTGAAATGTTGTCCAAATATAAATTTATTAGAATAACTTTCTCTAGGTCGGTGGGTGATTTCTGGAGTATCCAAAACACCCCGTACAGTCCGAGCTCTAGGTCTTAACTGGAGTTACAAATCAGTACCATGTCATATAAGTACATTTACACAATGGCAATTAAGTAATTAGTTTGAGTGACATCTGTCATTCATAGCAAACGGCCTTTCAGACCCATACAGTACTCTACCAGGAAAGCCAATTTAGCTGTCCTTTGTCTGAGACTGTAGTGTCCGATCTGATATGACCTGTTGATCCTGTCACGTAAAATAATTAAGTTAAAAGGTAAATGGTATACGATGGACTTAGTAATGCAAAAGTTAATCTGACAACTATGGTTCAAACACATTATACATGTCGACTTCAAAGAAAAAGGTTCGTAAATAGAACTTATCTAAATTGACACAAGTTAAGGTGAAACAATTTACATAAAACAGTTACAGAATATTAATTATATTTATGTCACACGGTGGAATGAATTAAATGATAGTTTGAAGTTTAAAATACGCCAAATGACTAATATAATGAGTATGGCAAAGTTCAAATTTAGCACTTTTATCATAAAATTCTTTATGATATTTTCACCCTGCCATTCCGCATTCCGATCCGTCATTTTGAGGACATATGTGTATCTGACATGCGCAACTCTAACTTTCGGTTTACATTGCATGTCCAGGCCGTATCGTGGAGCTTCATCCAAAATGAAACGTTAAGGTATGTGTACTTTGATAAAACTATTATAAATTTAAATAGAATATACAAAGGCTTAACCTATTCTCACCTCTATTTTTAGCGGGTTGGTAAAAATACATGTATATTATATATATATATATATATATATGGACAAAACTCGTCTAGTATTACACAGTAAATATTCGGTACATAATAAGTTGTAATATTGTAAAATGTACGTTTCGTTATTGTATTTTGATTGATAACAGGAAATATAAAGGGTAGTATTCGGTTGTGATCATGGATAAGCTTTCGTGTTTAAACGAAAATAAAACACACCGTTTTCTATAGTTTCGGAGCTGATAAGGAAGCCATGCAGCTCTTTTGTTAATGCCGCATCAACACGGCCATATATATGTTTATTATCAAAAGGTTTATAATATAAATAACTAACGGCGGCATACATAATCTACTCTGTACATACTATAAGCTCGAAACAGTGTTTTTTACGCAGACAATTCATAGCGACCTTGCTTACCCGAAGGAACACGGGTGTTTACTGAACAAAAACAAATACTTTACTGCCATGTCACCGCGGGGTGTGACCTATTGACCTTCGTTACACAACGCTACGAGCTGTTACAATAAACTATGTTATGTAATAAGAACTTGTTCCTACAGTTAATTTTATATACGGGCACACACACGAGGTGTAACTACTTCCGGTACACATGATATCAACCAAACACCGACACGGATGTAAATTGAATGTATATAAATACAACACGGGTGTATTCACACACGCGTGTGTTTAAGATAAACCTAATATAATCGTGTTTACATGCATGTGTCTGAACGAACAGCGATAGCATGGTGTTGTCGTAGGGTCTTAGTACGACGTTAGAAAGCTTCACACTATAGTACTGTAGTACAGTACTGCAACCACGCATACCTGTACTCTACACACATGTATAGCATTAAAGCCAATCTGATAAAAATCATATGTTACATGGCTTCGTTAACTGAATGTCACACCTGATGAACCATTTGTTTGATCTCTTCCTGAATTATATACACATAACTACGGTATGGTGATTACAATTATGGTCAACATTTCTGCATATAAATACGTGATCAATTGTATCAGCTCCGAAAAAGTGGCGGCTCACGACGACCCAACTGATCAATCTATCCGAATTTACATTATAAGTCTTGTCCTATGAAGTATATAATATATATATATGCAATTTAGTCCACTCCTCTTTGCAGGGTCAACACATGTTGAGGTAGCTATTATTAATAACTTCGTATTTCTCGTGATAATTGTGTTCCAAATGCACACTCTATTATGTTCATATACAAAAATATATGTAATATACTAACTATGTGTGTTTGTAAGTATACATCACTTTTTCAAAATTTTCCTTTACACATTTTTATCGCAAAGCCTGAATATTTGCAGGAAAACATTCGTGCTCATAGTACAAGTCTTATTAAGATGGCGACTGGTGGAGTATCCAAAATTCTGTTCGTGGCTGCCATAGACTTTGGGACTACATATTCTGGATACGCCTTTGGGTCCAAGGCGGATTTGGACAAGAAAAGTGAGGACGGTAGAAAAACTATAAATGCCAATGTGTGGAACGCCGGATCGCGGTCACTATTGTCTAGTAAGGCACCCACTGCTCTGTTGCTGAATCCCGACAAAACCTTCAAATCGTTTGGGTACACAGCGGAGGATGATTACTCACAATTAGCAGAAGAGGGCGAGCACGAAGACTATTATTACTTTCACAGATTTAAGATGATCCTTCATGATAACCCGGTAAGGCAATACCTAGATATTAACATGTTTTCATAAACTTGTATTTGTATCTTTATAAATTGATTTCTCTCACACAAAATTAAAACATGTTTTATCACACTGAAATTTGAATGTATGTTATTTGAATCGCGTTAGAGAAAGAGAATTTATGATGGCAGTGTTATATTAGAATGTGTGTCTTAGCCAGTCATACCAGATACAATTACACAGAATACTGATGTTCAAAATAGCAATAAATAGCGAAATAAGATATTAAAGATATATTGGAACATTTTATGTATTCATTCAACATCACATGTAAATAATCTGTAGTGCATGAAACACGGCATGTATTTACAAGACTATAATGATTTAGAAATAAACGTAGTAGTAAATCACGCGTACATTTCTAGCATTGAAAATTAGATTCAGAATGTATTAATAGTGTAAACTGTAGTAAACATTGCAATCGTCATTGTATGATTTATTACACAATCCGATTTTTGTCTGTTAAAGGTTTGAAATGATATGGTACAGTGTACATGTATGATGATTTCAAGATATGTCCTCGTTGATTTTCGGACATATCTAACAAGAATTTGTCATTTTTAAAGTAAAAGGAGCCTGCGAACCCCTATTTAAAATATCTCCATCCTATAGAACACTGAGATATGGTTTTGCTTTGAGTAGATAACAGTTCTCCGGAATGGAATGTTGTATCGTGTAAAAAACCTTTAAACGAAGACCAATATTGAAGCTTTTTAAAGTTAACCAATTAAAGTTACATCCCTTCCATAGGTGTTAAGTGTGTACTCCAAATTAAATGGTTAAGGTTTGGTTTCATTTATTTCATACAATGCTTAGTCATCTATTTATTGACTTATCTATTTATTTTGCAACAGTTTCAGAAAACTTTGCTACATTTATATATATTTTGCTTACTGAAAGGTTTTCACTTAACAATTAGGAGATTTTCGTTAACTATGTGATTCACCAATGTAATTCGGGGTTTTCTTCTGAATCCAATAAATACAGACTGCATTTAGTAAGTGCCACAACTGAAGTTCGTTTTTGGCAAGAATTGATTTGTTTTGAAACCCGTATATTTAAATAATACACGCATCAGTTCCATATTCAGAGAAAACGTCGTACTATGGACGATAGACTATACTAATCACTCTTGATTTATATTCTCTGTAGGATCTGCGAAAGGACACTAAGGTCAAGGATAACACGGGGAAAACACTCCCAGCCATTGACGTGTTTTCACACTCCATCAGATTCCTCAAAAATCATTTATTCGATATGATAAACAATCAAATCGGTGGCGAGCTGAAACAGGAGGACATCCAGTACGTCCTGACCGTGCCAGCCATCTGGGACGACAAAGCCAAACAGTTCATGAGGGAGGCGGCCAGGAGTGTAAGTATCTTATTATTTAGTTGATCATGTCACAATACCAGTAGTCAAGATTGAGAACCTGTCATATTACATTGTAATATAAAAAAATAAACTCAGATGTTTTCTAAATATTTTTGTCTCTAACTTGATATATTTCTGAAAAATAGCCAATTTTCACGAATATATAACTAATTGCATTTTGGAATTGATTTGTCCTGAAAATTGTTAGAGGACTAGCCCTAGAGTATCTATAAATATAGCTCCATAAAGAAACGTCATTTATGTTGTGCTTTAGCGAAACGCTGTACACTTTCGTTGTTTTGTGTAAGGGTCGTATGATAACGGATTTGTTATGCAAATCATTTTTAGATGGTATATTCACATACGTACTTGTAGATGGTCATAACAAAATACCAAACACACTCACAGACAACAGTACTGGTAACTAAATCACAGGTCACTTTGATTTTATAACAGTTGCATGTAAATAATCGTGTAAATTTTAAATCCACCTGCATTACCAATACTCACTCAGATACTATTGTATGCAGGGTGGAATAAACGGGGAACAGCTGATGATTGCACTGGAACCAGAGGCTGCCTCAATCCACTGTCAGCATATTCCGATGGGAACTGAGGGAGGCGAAGCCACGTACATGGTGGTTGACTTAGGAGGTAAGTTTGCAGGAGCTGTTGGGTTTTATCGGGTTTAATGTACTATCAACAGCTAAGGTCATTTAAGGACGTACCTCCATGTGTGTTGCATATGCGTGCATGGTTTTATGTGTGCTAGAGGCAGCGTATGTTGGCGTATTTGACTCCTTGTGATAGCGCGGATCGATTTTATAGTGCTATCTCACTGAAATACCATGCAGAAGGCACCCAGCAAAGAAGTCAGCCCAGTTACATTATATAGACAACTGGTAAATCAGTTGTTTCCATTTCCCTAAATGCTGAACGTTAAGCAGGGAATAACAACTACCATTTTAAAGTTTTTGGTATGTCCCGGCCTGGGGACAGAACCCATTGCTTTCCTCACCTGGGCGAACATTCAACATTATAGCCAAAAGTGGGGTACTGCAAAGCAAGGCGCTAGGATGTAAGAGGTTGTTAGAAGCAGACAGAGATATAAAGACCCCATCTATTGCAATAGATGCAGCAGATTTATTTTGGTCGCGTTTGTGAATGTAAATTATGGATAATTCCACTGCAAATGATGTGCTGATATATTATGCATGTACATAAGTGTGACGGGCTGTCTTGAACATATGCAAATATATACAATGTAAACGACGACCGGATCGGATCATGTACTCCTACTCCAGACATTAAACGGAGGAACGATTGACATTGATCATAACATCATTTAATCATGTAGAAGGTTATAGGTTAATCAAAACAATTGAAGATGTTATACAAAGAGTAAATGCACACAGAATTGATGATGTCAAAATACCATAAAGAATTTACATTGTACACAGGAGAGAAAAAGAACGGTTTTGAATGTATTTGTTTACAAATACTTTCATTTTTTTCTTTGTTGTGTCGAACAATAAAGGGAAACGAATATGCTACAGTAATTCAGTTGACATTGAACTTTGGTTAAAGAGCTTATATCAGCTTCTTTTCTGATATTATTCCTTTGATTCGGTCATCTGTCACAAAGTAGCACTGAAAACAAATATGAATGCTTATGTACATGATACATTGTAAATAACATTTAAAACTCTTACAATATCAACCTTTCGTAAACCTGCCTATGTACAGCCATGCATTCGTTGCTAGTATGACAAATACATTAACATTTTCTGTTTTAACATGTATTATATATTATAGCATTGTCGGTTTTTGTAAAGATACTATTTTTCTATTGCTATGACGTCGTCGGTTATTATTCATGATAATGGTGTGACGTCATCAGTTCGCGTATGTGTTTGTTGTTATGTCGTCATCAATTGGTGAAGTTTAAATGTCACAAAATGCATGTCTTTAGGATCTGTGGTACAAGTCAGTTATTCTTATTGAAGAGCTTGGATTGCAATCTTTAGATTTTTATTTTGTTGTTTTTCATCCATCATCAAACAGACGATTTAAACATTTATTTTACCTGTGCATTACATATTTTGTCAAACAACACGATGTTCGCATATACTATTTAAATAGTTTTAATTGATGCATCGTACTCTGTAAACAAATTATTCTTATACGTTTACAAATTATAATACATGTGTTCTAATATTTATCCTCAGCATATATACATTATTTCAACTTCTATTGTATAATCAATACACTGTGCTATACACTGATATGTGTGATGTTATAGGTGGTACTGCCGACATCACAGTACATCAGAGGAACCGCCTTGGAGGGGATAGTGAGCTCAAGGAGTTACATCAGGCAACAGGAGGCGCGTATGGTGGGAAATCTGTAGACGATGCATTTGAAACCTTCCTTGGAGAAATTGTTGGATCAGATAAAATAGCCAAACTGCGAAAAGAAAGTATGGAAGATTTCATCGATATTTTCCGGGAATTTGAAGCGAAAAAACGTAGCTTTGATCCTTCAAAATCTAAGAAGAAAGAAAGTGTTTCCCTTCCTGTAGCACTTACAAGTCTGGTCAAATCGGACAAAAACATTAAAACCATGGATAATGCCATCAAACAAAGTAAACACAATCATGATCAACTTTTAGCTTGGTCTCATCAGAAATTACAGATTCCTAGCGAAAAATTCAACACTCTTTTCCAACCTACCATAGATGGAATTATAAAACACATGGAGAAAATATTCTACGACAGTAAATTCCAGCATGTTGACACTATAGTCATGGTGGGTGGGTTTTCGGAGTGTAGACTTGTACAGGACTCCATTCAAAATAGGTTCACCATGAAAAAAATAATTGTACCAGATGAACCCGGACTGGCTGTATTAAGAGGGGCTGTATTGTTTGGTCATAAACCACGGACAATTCGTTGTAGGGTGGCAAGATATACGTACGGTGTTCAAAGCTGGCCGGTCTTCAACGAGTACTACCTTCAGGAAAAGCGGGTCATGATTGACGGAGTTGCTCGCTGTAAGGACGTATTCTTAGCATTTGTCGAGAAAGGCCAACAGGTCTCTCCAGGACAGTCGGAATCCCAGGTTTTCCGCGCACTGAAATCCAATGAGGATTCTCTCCAGTGTGCAGTTTACATCTCCGACAAACGAAATCCCAAGTACGTTGACGAGCCGGGATGTCGTCTGCTGGGTATCCTGACTGTCCCACTCGATCAGTCAGGCCCCGGACCAGCTGAGATCGAGGAGACGCTGATATTTGGTGAGACAGAACTGTTTGTGAAGGCAAGGGACATTAGGACTGGTATCCAATACCAGACACAATTCGATTTGCTCTAATGTTTTTACTCATTGTCAACACTGTACATAATGTGATAGACTATACCAACATTTGATAGCAGCGGAGGGAGGATTACGTTAAGGGAATGGACTTTGTCATTGAAAGTCTCAAAACATAGAAAATCATGCATTACATTAATTTTAAAGGGTATGTAAATACCCGTGTGTGGCGAACACATTTTAGAACATCCTAATTCACATCGACCAGGTGACATTATGTTATTTACCAGAATATTTTGTTTTAATATCTGAACTTTTAGGTAATTTTGATAGTGTATGCTGATGTCTGAACTGAAGCTATGCACATTAGAATGTACGCATTCATATTATTTTTCGTTAGTTATACAAGATACAAGAAGCTTTATTTAAAGTTGCATACATATCAACATGGAACATTAGCTCTTGAAAGCTATTATTGCGACAAATACAAATATATAAAATAACAAAAACATAATGTAATAGTACATGTAGTAATGAGTTATAAATATTATAAAAGACATTTTGTTTTTACATTTATGGAGAAAATACACTGTAGTGTCACTTGCAAGATGAGAGAAATAATTGCACGATTTTTTTTAATAATATCACAAGGCTTGACACTTATTTATATTATGGTTATTTATATAAAAAATCAAAGATTCGACACATATTAATGAACGATGTGTTACTACAATGTATGTTAAAACACTATCTGTACACCTGTACAAGTGTATTATACATACATGACAATATAGCAAAGGGTAAAAATTGACATGATATACACTAACATAGTGTGGATTAAAACAGCATTTCACATACTAAAGAAGAATATGATTAAGAGAGACAACTAACAGTAACATAGAGTATGATCTGATTCATAAAATGACATGTTGTATTAATTCAGAGAGATGGCTTGTATAGGCCTTGTCTGTTGCCCAATTCCCATTAAATCTGATGGATTTAATCAAATATTTTCAAATGAAAAACAAAAATGTATTAATCACAGAAATGTATATCACAGTATGTTTACCTAAAAGTGTTGCATCCAATTTTTAGCACTCAAACTGTTAAAAGTGATGTCCCCTATCCATATTGTTTATGTCATATCTCTACTGCTATGCAAATACGGCTCATTGTAAATCAATCACCATAAGTAAAGTTGTACATGTACATTTAGATAGAGCGAGAGTTTATAATATGCTTTAATCGTTGTTAAAAATAAGATTTTGTACTGCAACGTGCCTTGTGGTTTTGTTGTCACTACCCGAGTTTTCTATGTAAGGTCGTGATTACTTGGATTTGACTTTCTACAGTGGGGTGTTGTCCATGAAGCAAAACACGCGTCCCCTTCAGGAACGCCTGGTTTTATTATTCTTGTAATTTTTTCATTAGTCTCATTATATACCTTTCCTTTGTTCATATGTAACCCTAGTTTTATCGATTTTGAGTTCGAATAAAGGCTTTGATGATACTTTGGTATTCTACTATTTTGTATACGAATATAATTTATACAAAACACAATACCACGACACAGTTAGTCCTTTTATTATTGTTGACATATCCGTTATGGAACTGTTCCATAACACAACTATATTATTGTAGATCCGTCACTGAAAATCAGACAGTATGGTTTGACCATCTGCTCCGCCACCTGTCCTAATTAGAACTGACTTACTGGCAGGCTTCAAAACAATCATGCAACATACACCTCAAACTAGAAAGAGAAACATCCAACCAGAATGAATAAGGTTTACGAAAGACAGAAAACAACTATCAACAAATACAAGTAAAATGGAAAAGCAGACACTCCCCGATGACCAGAGGTTTTGCGTATGCGTTACAATTTACACACGACACTACCGTTAATGCAGCAACTATTTTTTGCCCAGTTCTCCGCGGTGACAACGAAAGTGGCCACTGAGACACTTGACATTTAATTGTTCATTTTTATGTCAGCGCCAATATAAGCTTAAGGAAATGTTAGGGTAAACATTAAAAATGGTATTCAAAACATAAAAACTCATTTTGTAGTTTGTATAAACGATGTTCCCTCAATATATCAATATTGATGCTTGCGTGGGGATGTCCCAGTAGTAAACGTTCAATTAGCATATATGGGGAATGCATCAGAATCAGATATGTCTGACCATCTGCGTTCTTAAAACGAGGGTATTTCTTACCATCAAGTTTTTTTCTAAATAATATATCTTTATTGTTATTTTGCCATCTCATTTATGTCCCTATTTCTAGTGTATGTATGTAGTTGTGTCGATTGACCGGTAGACAAAGCATCTAATAACCGTTTTCAAGTCTGCAGCCACTATTACATTTCCTGCCTACAATATAATTAAGCTTACTGTATAACCACAAAAAAAACCGAATACATCTATTTCTCGAAAGACGTAATGCTAACTAATCATGCACTACAATATTCCAGCATACCAATGTTGCTGCCTCTGCTGTACTGAGGCACAGTAGTCTAGTGGTAGGACGCCGGGCTCGTGACCGAAGGGTTGCGGGTTCGAGTCACGGCACGGTACAGAACAGTGTTGTATCTTTGAGCAAGATACTTTACTCCGCTTGTTCCGGTCTACTCGGCTGTAAATGAGTACGCGGTTGGGCAGTGTTAGAATTATAGAAAGCTAGCTGTGAGCGCAGAAATGGCAGCATCGGCTGTATGCTCCCCAGGCCCTATAACCACGGAAAATAATTTGTGAACCGCTTTGAGGACGACCTACAAACTAGGTTATGATATAAATTATAAAATATAAACTTTATTTATTTAACAACAATTATAAAACAAGTTATTTCAACTCATAATAATCACTTTTGTTGGCCCGAATGTAAGCGCGGGGGAGATGGGGTCTTAGTGTGGGAGAAAACCGGAGTACCCGGAGAAAACCCACGTGGCCGAGCAGGTGATCCCATACCTTTTCACGTCCGATTGGGGAATCGAACTCCGGCCAGTGAAGGCAAATGCGCTATCCACTGCATCACCCGACTACCCAAGGTTATTACCACTAGGTTGTGAATCTCAAATTATTAATAATTATTATTATTATGTGTACCAGGTATCGTATTCCTAAGCTTCACAAGAATCCTTATGCATAATGTTTTATCGCATGCTTTTGTTGGTTAACCAAGTCTCTATCCGCACTTTCCGATTCTTAGTACCATTAAGAGAGTTATAGTCCTATTTCGATACTACTTGTATATTTCAGAACTGGAATTAATGGAATGAGGATTTGGAGAGTTCAAAAGATATTTTAATCAATCTAGAACATTCTCTCCTCAATACACTTTATTGTATCAAAAAATACCTTTCCATATTTTGCACTAAAATATTAAATACAAAACTTTTAGTTTATGGACCAGTCCCTCCCAAGGAACATTTTATTCATACCTTGAGATACCATCATATTATGGACATTACATTGGTATCCCAGATTTTATGGGAAGCGTTCATTTACTTGCTTTGGTGTATGACTAATGAAGATATCTACGCATCTCCCGTGATCCCTTGTGCTAACCAGAATAAAGACTGAATTACAATCATATTTCATATTCTCGACAGGTCTCTTTTAAATTACTTATCCACTTATATTGTATTTCAACTATTGATAAAACAGAATTAGCAGCAACTTGATTTTTCTGAAATGAAAAATGCTCCTTCGACTGAACAACACTAATGGTACACAAATGATAAACTTGCTAGTCGATCCAATCACAGACGTGTTATCGTTTGGATTTGTTTGTGTTTTATGTCCTGCAAACGGCTGTGGTCATTTAAACAAATCCAACATATTTTGATGGTTGGAGGATTTTCAAAATGTCAACTCTTACAAAGCGCAATTAGAAAAAGACTTAATCAGAAAGTAATTGTCGTTCCAGACGAGGCTGGCCTTGTCCTCAAAGGTGCGGTGTTGTTTGGACACACTCCAAGGGCTATCAGCTGTAGGGTAGCCCGATATTATTACGGCACCCAAAGCTGGCTTACATTTAACCTGAATGTACACCTAGAAAAGAAGAGAGTTGTGATCAAAGGAGTATCTCGATGCAAGGACGTATTTTTCAAGTTCATCGAGGTTAACCAGGAGCTTGTCTCTGGACGTCGAGAATCACAAGTCTTCCAACCACTCAATTTGACAAAGAACTTTATCGAATATACATGTACTGTGTATGCCTCCCCAAAAATTACAAAAAAATAGTTTAGTTAGAAAAATTCTGCCAACTTCTGATTTGTTTGACGATTGAATATTGTCAGTCATTACTGTTGTTAGCTTTAATGGTAATAAAGTTAGATTAAAATAACATGTCAAAAACTTCGAAACAAATGAATTCCTATTAAGTATTAATTTCCCGTTGATATACTCAGATTGTGAACATTGTCCTAGTATGTTTTATAGAGTTTAGTATTCCTTCGAATCCCACTTCTTTCGAATTTAAACCCAAAGAGTGCAACATAAAGAACATTTAAACAAAGTAGTCAAAATAAATATAAAATAACAAGTATTAACATGAAATGAAGAAAATACGGAAAAAAACACTTGTCAGTTCCGGATACATCTTTCTTGAATGGGATAGTGCATTGGATAGCGCACTTGCCTTTCACCAAGGCGGCCGGGGATCAATTCCCCGATTGAAGGTCAAAATGTACATTGTATGGGGTCACCTGTCCGACCACGGTTTTTTTCTCCGAGTACTCCGGTTTCATCCGATCCGCTAACATCAGGGCCAACAAGAGTGACTAATATAAGTTGAAATAATTTGATTCATAATTGCTGTAAAATAAATAATGTTCATATATTTTTCTTAAATGTGTACATACATTCTATATATATGTACGGTCACATCAGTTTATCATTGGTTAAAAACAGCATTGTTGTTATTAAAGACAGTTGTACTCGGTACAGTAAACGCATTTTCTGTATGTGCATCAGATCGTCAAAGTAATGTGGGTTGTGTCACAAAACTAACACGAAAGGGAACACGATGTGGACAAGACAGACCAACAAAGAGTATCGCCAGTGTCGACTTGTCGCGTCGCATTTACTCTTCATTAAATCATGCTTACCGCAGAAGACATTCAAACATTAACCGAGAGTTCAGTGTTAAAATGTTTAATAGCACAACGCCTTATTATTCTATACTGATTCAATGTTTTTCAGTTACAATAGACTTTAAATAAAACTACAAAGTTACTACTGAGTATTTAAAAGGTAGCACACCGGGGGTCAGTCTTGGCCTATTGGTTGTGAAAACTCTCTCTAGAACTGAATTAATAAATATGTAATATGTACAATAATCGACTGTAAAGAGTTAACATCATATCAACAGCTAAAGTCAGACCTTAAGAGCTCACTGCCTAATATAGTCGTGTTTCCCTGTGACATAAACTTGCAACGAATAACTGTTTGAATTTCAAACCCAAGATTTCTTGATACATTTCATGCAGTCAATCGATGTGTTTTACTCAATAAGCTGACATGTGGGATGCAGTTTGTTCTCTATGAACTTATTAGTTTCTATTTCAGTTATAGTGTTTATGCAATTATTGCTTCCTTGTGTGATATCGTTAGGAACAAACAATAATGTGGTCATGTGGCCCATTACAACTTGTAGGTGATCATATGACCAACAATCAGGAGTTTTCAGGAAGGAAGGAAATGTAGTTGCTGATCGATTTACGTCGGGACTCTTTGTTTAATAATCCACCGTATGGTAAAAGTAACTATATATAGTTGTTATATAAATACATGTACTTAAAACAACACCATAAAAAATGTGGGCGTCAATTCCTCTTCAGTACAATCATGCTTACCGAAGACAACATTCAAATATTTGATAGCACAACGCGTTAATATTCTATACTGAATCATGTCTTTGCGTATTGCAGAGTTATCTTCTCTTGGGAGCAGGTATTGATTGTTACGTCATTGGTTTGTCTGAGAAAATCACGTCGTTTTCTCAAAAATTGATGACGTTACTCTCTTAAACAAGTGCCGTAACAATCAATACCTGTTATCAAGAGAAGATAACTCTGCAATATGCAAAGACGGAATTGGTTGTGAAAACTCTATCTGATCTGAATTAATAAATATGTAATATGTACAATACCTTTGTGCTCTGTTCGCGTAAACATTGTCTTGTTTAGTGAACGTTTGTGTGGATGCGTTCTTACACTTATTGTGCAATTATATAGAGAACGTGAGTAGCAGAAATAGTAAATAAAAAACGTATTGGTCGTTCGTTCTTAATATTTCTCCTATGAGTTAAATGATTGCCCTTATTAGTGTACACAGAAGATTGGAAGACATTGCATTAGCGACATCAGAGTAGAAAGATGAGTGGGTAATATAGCAAGGATATAGGGCAGCCTGCAGTACACTCCTATTCTCATTATCAACTGAAACCCTTGAGGCCAAAATCTGAAGTTGATGCAAGATGGCCAGGTCTGTGTAATAGGAATTACATTGCTGAAAAGCTGTGTTTATATTCAGGTTGTTGCCAATCAATAAATGTATGTGCAATGTAGGTAATATGATTGCTGATGGTGTGCACGTGTCTTACATGTATGAACGCTTTTATTTATTTATTCATTATTTTAATTATTCTATTTTGAAATGCACATAATATGATACATGTATCACGATTGTACTAAGTGGTTAAATAAAACATGTTTTACTCCACAGAAAGTTTTTGTAGTTGTAAGAGTACATACATATACGTACCTACACCTACTACCTATAGTTGTGGTACTACGTCATGTATTACATTACTTCAATGTGAAACTAAAATAGGACTAGAGCAGCGTAATGAACGAGTCCCTTGTATCATCATACAGCTTTTATGATATCTATATATGAACATTTACATGGCATTGTCACTATATAGCCTCTTTGAAAGCTGTGTCGTTGATGGGACTTTTTAATTACCATGCATCACGAGACACAATTATTAGCGTATTAATACAACACTGACAGGAACTACAATATCCAATATAATTAAACATGACGGCTGCTGAAATATCGCTGGGCATTGTGAGATTTGACAATGTCATTGTAAATTTTTCGCGGTCAAAAATCAAAAGTGCTTCAGTTACCCTAATGCGTAAAAAAATACCAATAATATATAACTTTCCACTTTTTTGCATATTATTTTAATCTTATTGAACATTATAAAGTTGTACAGCAAAATTGAACCTGCTACTATTAAAAATGGTGACACAGTGACAATTTTAAGTGATCAATCTAGTGTCAAAAAAGGTGAAATTTTGGCCCTTTGTGAAGCGGAAGAAATTCACATAAATACACTTTTTCAAAATGGCCGCCAAATTGGTCATTTTTTTTCAAATTCTTGTAAAAAATGTTCTACCCACAACAGACATCTAGTTTTTTGACATGTTTTTCAGATGTTTGTTTGCTATTTAACCTATCATAATTTGTTAAATATTACAAAAACCCGTTACACCAGATCAAAACGAGACTTGAACGTGACTGAAACCTCAGGCAGAAGAGTACATCCTTAAGTGTCTCAACAATACTTTCAAAAAATAGATCCTCTTTGTGTTTTCACGGTTTCATTCCACATTCCGATCGCAATCAGTGTGATATCCCATAGGACGTTGCTAATTACGAACCAGAACCAGAACCGTCAATTTTAGGACACATGCATATCTGACATGCGTAACTGTAACTTTCGGTTTGCATTGTATTGTCCAGACCATATCGGGAAGCTTCACCCATAATGAAACTTTAAGGTATGTGTACTTTGATAAAACTTTTATAAATTGAAACAGAATAGACTTAGGATTAAACTATTCTCACTTCTACTTCTTACTTGATAACGGGACATGGAGATGGTAGTACTCGGTTGTGATCATGAATAAGCTTTCGTGTCAAAACGAAGATAAAACACACCTTTTTCCATAGTTTCGGAGCTGATAAGGGAGCTATGCAGCTCTTTTGTTAATGCCGCATCAACACGGCCATATATATGCTTAGCTAACGGCGGCATACATAATCTACTAGGTATACATACTCTAAGCTCAAAACAGTAGTTGTCATGACGCAGACAATGCACAGCAACTCGAATATTACTCAACAAAAACAAATACTTTATTAACATGCCACCGGGGTGTGTGACCTGATAACATTCTGTACACAACGCTTCGAGCTGTTACAATACAATATGTACTGTTATAAGTACTTGTTCCTAGAACTAATTTAAAATAGATGCTTTCAATATTAGTTTCATACGAGTACATACATGAGGCGTAACTACTTCCGGTGCACATGATACCTTGAATGTATACATATGCGTGTGTTAATGTAACCCTCATATAGTCGCTCTGGTCAGTAATCGGCAATGTCCTATTGGATATCACGCTGGTTGCCGTGTTTACATGTGTCAGAACGATCAACGATAACATTGTGTTGTCGTAGGGCCTTTACTCAAAGAAAGAGTACGATATTAGAAAGCTTTACACTGGTAGTGCTACAATTCACGTATACCTGTACTCTGTACATAACATTTAACACATATCACACCTGATGAACCTTTTATTGAACCTCTCAATAGATAATGTACACACAACTACGTTATGGTGATAACAATTAGGGTCAACATTTCTGCATATAAATACGTGATAATTTTATCAGCTCCGAAAATGTAGGCTCATCTAACTGATTAATCTATTCCGAATCTTAGTTCGCGTAGCTGAACCATTTTCAAATTGATAATATTTTTATTGATTTTTGTTTACTCCCATGGGTAATATTGTTCTGTGTAGCAGTGCAATTAGCTTAATATCCAAAACCTGATCACAGACCAGAAATACATGTATTTAATCCTATGTTCTTTGATGGATCAGCAGTATGTTAGCATTTATTGATTACTTCGTATTTCTCGTGAATATTTGACTAATGTAGTCTTTTTTAATTGTGTTCCGAATGCACACACTATTATGTGCATATACTAAAATATAAGTTATACTTTCTATGTGTTCTCAGTATACATCATCTTTCTCAAAAAAATCTTTACGTAAAACCTGAATACTTGCAGGAAAACATTCGTGCTCATAGTACAAGTCTTATTAAGATGGCGACTGGTGGAGTATCCAAATTTCTGTTCGTGGCTGCCATAGACTTTGGGACTACATATTCTGGATACGCCTTTGGGTTCAGGTTGGATTTGGACAAGAAAAGAAAGGACGGTAAACTAGCTATAAATACCAATATGTGGAACGCCGGATCGCGGTCACTATTGTCTAGTAAGGCACCCACTGCTCTGTTGCTGAATCCCGACAAAACCTTCAAATCGTTTGGGTACACAGCGGAGAATGATTACTCACAATTAGCAGACGAAGGCGAGCACGAAGAATACTATTACTTTCACAGATTTATGATGATCCGTCATACCTACCCGGTAAGGCAATAGACACATATCAACATTCGCTCATAAACTTGTATTTGTATGTGAATAAATTGATATTTGTTTCCATGTAATGCATCATATTTCTCTTAAGAAATGAAAATAGTGTTTATCACACTGGAACGTGAATGGAAAAAGACATTAACTCATTCACCCCTGACATTTCGTAATGAAGTATTCAAACCTTTGAATTGGAGGAGTTCAAATGTGTCTGCAGGGAATGGGCTAAAGGAGAAGTAAAGAAGTTGATAATTTATGCACATGTATTAAAAGCCAATATTTGATCGTGTAAGAGAACGAGAGCGTATGATGGAAATATGAAGATTATAAAACTCTTTCATGCTCAGGGTTGTATGATAGGAATATTCCACCCGAGGGGTTTTCAAATTTTGTAAAACCCGAGACTTTGCATTAATAAGCTCAGAAACAATGAAAATGCCTTTGGAATGGCCGCCATTTTGAAAATATCCCCCCCCCCCCGGAGCTTTTTAGACGAAAACGAATCAACCAGCCCGATTTAGCTTATCCAATAGTGCAAACAGAATTTGTGCAGGAAAATTAATCACATCTTTCTAACGTGTACGGTAAATATATTGTAAAAGATTTTTAATTTCATCACGTCGCCTTTTCCAATGTAAGATAACAAATCTCCTACACCCCTTTTTAACCCTGGACTAATATAATATGTCACCCCATTTGAGATAGGGGAATCTCAACCCTCGGGGGAAGATTCTTAAGTTGCCAAGCACTCTGCATCCAATAAGTAAAGACTGCATGTAGTAAGTGCCGCAACTGAAGTTAGTCTTTGGCAAGAATTGATTTGTTTTGAAACCCGTATATTTAAATGATACACGCATCAGTTCCATTCAAACGCAGATAGACCATATGAATAACTCTTGATTTATATTCTCTGTAGGATCTGCGAAAGGACACTAGGATCCAGGATGAGACGGGAAAATCACTCCCTGCCATTGATGTGTTTTCACACTCCATCAGATTCCTCAAAAATCATTTATTCGATATGATAAACAATCCAATCGGTGATACTCTGAAGCAGGAGGACATCCAGTACGTACTGACCGTGCCAGCCATCTGGGACGACAAAGCCAAACAGTTCATGAGGGAGGCGGCCAGGATTGTAAGTATCTTATTGTTTAGTTAATCATGTCACGATACCAGTAGTCGAGACTGATAACTGGTCCTACTAATATAAAAAAAACACTCAGTTACAGCCAAAGAGGAACCGTACCTCAACTTAAGTACAGTGTTAATTCGTATTAACATAATGTTAAGTATTTATAAATATAGCACAAACATATACATGCTGATGGTCATTACAAAATACCAAACGCACTCACAGATAAATGTAACGTGCAAATTGACGCTAAACAGTCCTGGTAATTAAGTTACAGTCATTATCATTTTATAATAGTTATATGTTAATAATAGTTTTATTTACAAATCCACATACATAACCAATACTCACTCAGATATTTCTGTATTCAGGGTGGAATAAACGGGGAACAGCTGATGATTGCGCTGGAACCAGAGGCTGCCTCAATTCACTGTCAGCATATTCCGATGGGAACTCGGGGAGGCGAAGCCACGTACATGGTGGTAGACTTAGGAGGTAATATTTCAGGAGTTGCTTATAATACGGATAGAGGGAAAGCATGAATGTCAATAATGGTTTACACCACTGAAAATGATTTGTAGATATAGTATACCGCTCTGCCGGGGTCTATAAAAAGCACGTGCGAGGGGAGATAACTCAAACTAGAAAATCACTTCATAACAAAAAAGATGGCGTCCGACACACGCAAGCGTTCGAGGTTTGCCAATCATTCATAGGATGAAATAGCCTACAGCAATCCAAAACGATGGCAAATTCCCCGAAGCAGGCAATGAGGGCCGCTAGGGTGCTAATTAGAAAGATGGTTGTATATTGTCCGAAATATTGCCGAAACGGTGTCCGGTAGGGGCTATTTTGGTAGCAGTCAAGTACAACTCAAACTCGCAAAGTGACTTATAATTTTGCAGAGTAAAAAAAGTAATGAAAGATTGTCAGTATGACAAATTCGTTATCTCTGGGTTAGGCGGAGTCTACTGTCTCATAGTCCCCTTTGGTATTTAGAGACCACTCGCCTTCGGCTCCAGAGACAATTCTAATAATATATAATGTAAATGACAACAGGTTTGGTAAACGTTCTGCCTAATTTGCTCCAGACAGTAAAGGAATAAAGATTGACCTTGATCATCATAAAACCATTTAGAAGGTTATATGTTAATCTCAGCAATTGATGACTTCAACACAAAACATTCACAAACTGATGACGTCACTTTCTTAGGAATAATTGATGATATCAAAAGCACTCTTTCCCGAAGCGAATGATTTCCTATGACCTACTTACTGTAGTGTTCCAGCCTGACTACAGTGCACAGATCCCGTCACACTGTTAGGGTCACTAACGTTTTGCTTTCTATAACAAAATTACCACTGTAAATAAGTCTGAAATTTTATTTCTGACCTCTTGAATATGACTTTTCATTCCGTCAGAAATAAAGAACTCTCTCCAAGACATTATATCCATTTCAGTAGAGTCTATAGTGTAAGCACAGAATAGATCGACATGGCCAAAACATTACCACAAGAAAAGAAGTATGAAGCTAACCATGCTTTGAAAACTTTAGCAACCCGCCAAACAGCAAGCAGCCGAGCTGGCTGGATGAGGCAAAAGTGTAGGGTTGAACCATATTTGTGAGTTATCACAAAGCGATGTAATTTTAGACTAACCCAATCAGTCAGATTTGGAGGATTCTGTGCCGCTTTTGTAACACATGTTAAGATGACACTTAATTTTAGCGTACAGGACATAGGGCTTCCCACCGTTATTGGAGAATATCTATAAGATAGATTATGACCGGCAAAAGATGTTTTCTCTCTATCAAACATGTACCTTGGACGATATTTTATCAGTACTATCACAGACTTAAACAGCAGTCTAATTCCGTGGTACTATTGAAATATGATGTGGTGTGTTTAAGACAGGTTTGTTACTAACTTGTTACACATGTATTCAATTAAAAACGCAGTGTTTCTGTACACTGTTTTATGTTGTGAAGATATAACTGCAATAGTATAGGTGTTCATAATGATGAAGCACACTGCACTCGCCATATACATTTGAAATGTTTAATATGGTCAGGTAATAATATGTTAAAGTTTATTGAATTGTTGGCCGCTTAAAATCCCTGAGCACTCTTCCATTCGATGGCCGATTGGCACTCCTTTTACGGTATTATGCCGACTGCATCATCGAGTTTCTCGACGTCTGAACCGAAGACTTTGTTTGCGTGGCAAGGTACTTACGCCGAATCAGTGAGTAACATGTTGATTTGTTACAACATAAAAAGGGTGCAAAATAAATGAAACTGAGAATGATGTGATGCCCCAAAGCTCGTATAAAGCCAGTGTATAGTTTACGTCACTGACGCACTGTCACTTTAATAATGAAATCAATATATTACGCTTTGGATTTATTACTAGCGTTGCAAGCTTACCTGATTTTAATATTTTCATTTCTTGACTAAGTATTCTGTTTGTGTTTTACACAGCCCGCGCAATACCTGTCTCTTCCGCTCCCATCTAACATGTTTATAAACACGGTGTTAAATTGTTGGCACTTAACCAGCATCAATTAAATGGGTCAGCGAACCATGATAAAGACGTTTGTACCTTAAAGGTCAGTGGTCCGTAGTAGTAACAGGGCACAAAAAGTTGCGATACTTTCTCTGCCCCAGATGGGCCCTGTATTAAAATTATTCAATATTTATTTGAAGTACAATACTATTCAACATGATATACAGGAGTACTCTGTTCAATTAATTTTTCACCATACAGTATGTTTGTAATTTAATCCATGAAGTGATCATCTTTCAAAATACTATCAGATGATTGGTTGTAATAACTTATAATAAAAAATGCCTTATTAAATTAGAATGCTGAAAATTTGCACCAGAATCTTTCCAATTCTTAAGAAAAGAGAAAGTATGACTTAATCTTATTTCTTGATACAGAAGTTGTGAAAAAAAAATTGCCTTTAATTGCGGACTTCAGAATCTAATTCTGAATCTAATTCTGTCACTTCAATCTAAAAATAAAACAAATAAAAATCCAAAACAAAAGTAGCCTCAGTGATGCTATGTTAATAATTACTTTCCTTGAGTTTAAAAAGTAATAAGAAAAAATCACATATTTCAAATTTAAATTGCAGCAGGACACGTTTGAATAGAAAGAGACGAATTTATAACGGTATTGACCAACGCTTTGAAATAAAACGGGAGCACATCACGTCGCAAACCTTGGCCATTCCCGTATCGTTGATTTGCGCCAATTATAAGCGACCGTCGATGATACCCTGAACGGTTTGCTGTTCTAAAAAACTGCATAACTGCGACGCTATATAACTTTTCTCACTCGCTTGAAATTCTGAAACGTAATGTGAACGAAGGCACACAAATACGATACCTCGTTTGAAGTGATTTGACAATTAAAGTTCAAAGGCCGAAAAACGCCACTTCGACATGGTGTTTCAAATGCAATATTGTCTTTCTTAATGACGTATTAATGCTTGCTTCGGTACTGGAAAAAGTATATGAAGACAATATACTGAACCTTTAAATTTGTTGGATGCGGTGTTTGAACAAGGTGATCAGATATCTGCCTACGGCGCCGTCAAGCGCCGACAAAAGTACGTGTGCGAGGCCCTATGTGTGACTCGCTTATCAGTCTGTATTTTCTCAAAATATATAAATTCTAATTCGTTTCAAAGTTATAATATCTGTATTTTAATATTTATCCTCAGCATGTACTCAGTATAACAACTTCTATTGTATAATCAATACACTGTGCTATACACTGATATGTGTGACGTTATAGGTGGTACTGCCGACATCACAGTACATCAGAGGAGCCACCTTGGAGCGGAAAGTGAGCTAAAGGAGTTACATCAGGCAACAGGAGGCGCGTATGGTGGGAAATCTGTAGACGATGCATTTGAAACCTTCCTTGGAGAAATTGTTGGATCAGATAAAATAGCCAAACTGCGAAAAGAAAGTATGGAAGATTTCATCGATATTTTCCGGGAATTTGAAGTGAAAAAACGCAGCTTTGATCCTTCAAAATCTGAGAAGAAAGTAAGTGTTTCCCTTCCTGTAGCACTTACAAGTCTGGTCAAATCGGACAAAAACATTAAATCCATGAATAATGCCATCAAACAAAGTAAACACAATAATGATCAACTTTTAGCTTGGTCTCATCAGAAATTACAGATTCCTAGCGAAAAATTCAACGCTCTTTTCCAACCTACCATAGATGGAATTATAAAACACATGGAGAAAATATTCTACGACAGTAAATTCCAGCATGTTGACACTATTGTCATGGTGGGTGGGTTTTCGGAGTGTAGACTTGTACAGGACGCCATTCAAAATAGGTTCACCTCGAAAAAAATTATCGTACCAGAAGAGCCCGGGCTAGCTGTATTAAGAGGGGCTGTGCTGTTGGGTCATAAGTAGTGTTGGGTAATCGGTTGAAAATGCCAATCAATGATCGGTTGTAATCAGATGACCTTCATAACCGATTTCCGATTATAATCGGGTGGGTTTTTTTAACCAGGAAGAAATAAGATAGAACCCTACATGACTTGCAGTTTCATTCCTTCTTCATCATCGTGAATGTTATTCACTTATTTCTCAGTTTATTAGCTGCGAAACATCATAAATTCATTTGAATGTTGATTAACATATCAGTGTTTACCAAACGGACAAAAAATAGGTCAGAACAAATATGTAAAAAGAACTTAAACAACAATTTTAGTTAATTTGTTGACATTTTGTAAATAATTCATCCATTCAGTCTCCCATCAACGAAAACAGATTTACCGGCTCAGAGTACATAATTCCTTCCTGGTTCCTTTTCAGAAAATATTTTAAGGGCTATTTTTTTCAGTAACTGCAATACTATAATAGGGATTTTTTTCTTCAAATTAAAGTGATGGATATTTCATTTAATAATTTGGTGTGGGTTTATTGTTTAGTTTTTAATTCCTGAAATGCAAGTTCCTCTTTGATAAACAGAAACGATTTTTCAGGAAAAAATGATGTCACTCTGTTGAAACTAGTAGTTACCTAAGAAAGTTTAGTCTTTTTTCACCAGCCTCAAATTCTCAAATATCGTCTGAATTGATAGAAAGAAAGATCGCCAGTATTCTACCTGCAATGTTTTCCTCAAAACGAAAAACAAAGTTTGTTTTCAAGAGTGTTTTGTTGGTTTCATAATTGCTTAATTGTATCTCAATAAACTACAGTCAATTTAGTTAATTTTTCATTCACATCCTGTCGGAGGAAACAGACAAGTGAGCCAAAATTTTGTTCGGTTTTCCTCGACATTTTGCCAGATTTAGCTTCAAATATTTCCAGATATTTGAGCAGGTATCTGAAACATTTTGCCGGCCTGAGGTGATTTTTTCGGACATGTCTAGCTGTCCGACAGAATTTGTCACACGTCTACAGTGATTCAATATTGTTAATCTCAAAATATATGAATAATTTCATGCAGTACTACAACCTTTTTATAATGAACACATGTCTTAGATTTGCATATATTTCTGATAGATCTCTCAAATATTCACCATTGCTGGGTGTGTTCGTTTTGGTTATCTACCGATGATCGATTAAACAAGACTATGATCGATCATCGGAATCGGTAGGCTACAACCAAGCGTTAATCGGTTATTCCCGATCATCTGCACAACACTAGACTCATAAGCCACGTGCAATTCATGTTTAGGGTGGCAAGACACACGTACGGTGTTCATACTGACCGGTTTTCAACGACTACTACCTTCCTGAAAAGCTGGTCATTATTGACGGAGTTGCTCGCTGTAAGGTCTTATTCTTAGCATATGTCAGGAAAGGTCAACAGATCACCCCAGGACAGTCAAAATCCCAGGTTTTCCGGACACTGAAATCCGAAGAGACAAACGAAAATCCCGAGTACGTTGATGAGCCGGGATGTCATCTGCTGGGTATCCTCTTTATTGCTCTAAAGTTTTTACTCATTGTCAACACTGTACATAATGTGATAGACTATATATACTAACATTTGATAGCAGCGGAGGGAGGATTACAGGACATTGTCACGGAAAGTCACAGAACATGGAAAACCATGCATTACATTATTTTTAAGTGTATATAAATACCCGTGGGTGGCGAACACATGTTAGAACATCCTAATTCACATCGACCAGGTGACATTATGTTATTTACTAGAATATTTTGTTTTAATATCTGAACTTTTAGGTAATTTTGATAGTGTATGCTGATCTCTGAACTGAAGCTATGCACATTAGAATGTACGCATTCATATTATTTTTCGTTAGTTATACAAGATACATGAAGCTTTATTTAAAGTTGTATACATATCAACATGGAACATTAGCTCTTGAAAGCTATTATTGCGACAAATACAAATATATAAAATAACAAAAACATGATGTAATCGTACATGTAGTAATGAGTTAGAAATATTATAACAGACATTTTGTTTTTACATTTATGGAAAAAAATACACTGTAGTGACACTTACAAGATTAGAGAAATAATTGCACGATTTTTTTTAATAATATCACAAGGCTTGACACTTATTTATATTATGGTTATTTATATAAAAAAATCAAAGATTCGACACCTATTAATGAACGATGTGTTACTACAATGTATGTTAAAACACTATCTGTACACCTGTACAGGTGTATTATACATACATGATAATATAGCAAAGGGTAAAAATTGACATGATATACACTAACATAGTGTGGATTAAAACAGCATTTCACATACTAAAGAAGAATATGATTAAGAGAGAAAACTAACAGTAACATATAGTATAATCTGATTCATAAAATGACATGTTGTATTAATTCAGAGAGATGGCTTGTATAGGCCTTGCCTGTTGCCCGATTTCCATTAAATCTGATGGATTTAATCAAATATTTCAAATGAAAAACAAAAATGTATTAATCACAGAAATGTATATTACAGTATGTTTACCTAAAAGTGTTGCATCCAATTTTTAGCACTCAAATTGTTAAAAGTGATGTCCCCTATCCATATTGTTTATGTCATATCTCTACTGCTATGCAAATACGGCTCATTGTAAATCAATCACCATAGTAAAGTTTTACATGTACACTTAGATAGAGCGAGAGTTTATAATATGCTTTAATCGTTGTTAAAAATAAGATTTTGTACTGCAACGTGCCTTGTGGTTTGTTGTCACTACCCGAGTTTTTCGATGTGAGGACGTGACTTACTTGGATTTGACTTTCTACAGTGGGGTGTTGTCCATGAAGCAAAACACGCGTCCCCTTCAGGAACGCCTGGTTTTATTATTCTTGTAATTTTTTCAATAGTCTCATTATAAACATTTCCTCTGTTCATATGTAACCCTAGTTTTATCGATTTTGAGTTCGAATAAAGGCTTTGATGATACTTTGGTATTCTACTATTTTGTATACGAATATAATTTATACAAAACACAATACCACGACACAGTTAGTCCTGTTATTATTGTTAACATATTTGTTATTGAACTGTTCCATAACACAACTATATTATTGTAGATCCGTCACTGAAAATCAGGCAGTATGGTTTGACCATCTGCTCCGTCACCTGTCCTAATTACAACTGACTTACTGGCAGGCTGCAAAACAATGATGCAACATACACCTCAAACTAGAAAGAGAAACATCCAACCAGAATGAATAAGCTTTACGAAAGACAGAAATACCTATCAGCAAATACAAGTAAAATGGAAAAGCAGACACTCCCCGATGACCAGAGGTTTTGCGTATGCGTTACAATTTACACACGACTTCATCGTTAATGCTGCAACTATTTGACCACTGAGACACTTGACATTTAATTGCTCATGTTTATGTGGAAAGTATCAATTGGCGCCAATATAAGCTTAAGGAAATAATCGGGTAAATATTAAAAATGGTAATAAAAAAAAATAAAAAAATCTGTCTTCCTAATGTGTGCTCATGAGGACAACGAAATGAATTAAACTATATAATATTTATTTCGCAAAAGTATATACGTGCGCAAGCAGCAGTAATTCTTACCTAAGTAATAGATATATATGTTGTATACAGAAAGTCAAAGCAAGAGTCCTGTGTCGAGTGGGGCAATAATAATAATCGATAGTACACATAACAACCTTTGAAGGACCTACACATAAGCATGTCAATGAAAGTTTTAAGCATATTAATGTAGAACGTAAGCACTTTACTCCAAGGAGAAAGCGTTTCACCAAAGAACGTTAGGATATCACTTTGTTGTAAAGCTTCTCGTTTCAGGACCTATGTATATAAAAAGGACGTAGGCACATAACGCTTATTGACACAAGTAATAAGGACGTAAGCGTATCATTACAGGGTGTTTGCAATAGGCATATAATTAAAAACAACTTAAGCATATATTACTATATAACGAGAGTTTATCACGTAGGGATCAAAGCAAATCATTTAACAATACTACTGCCCATTCATCTTTAGAACCATCAGCAACGAATGACATAAAGTATACCACAGTTTGCAAAGTAAACAATACAGCTTCTTTGTATAGCAAAACGCCGTGGGTTGTGTATTGATGTTTTACATGGGGATGTCCCGGTAGTAAACGTGCATTTAAACGTTCAATTAACATATATGGGGAATGCATCAGAATCAGGTATGTCTGACCATCTGTGTTCTTATTACGAGGATGTTTCTAACCATCTTCGGTTTATATTTAAAATATGTGTCTATAGCGTTTTTTGTCATCGTGTTTCTGCCTACAAATATACTATTTCTTTGAAATTGGTAAGAATAAATTGAGTTAGCAGTAAATATATCAATCCGGCCATCCTCCTCTGTACAAGAGGATGTTGAAACAGTAAGAGCAGACGATTTTCTTCTGCTATAAAACGGAATATCTGAACCGGAGATAACTTATTATTTGTATTGTATCCAGAAGTGTTTGTACACTCGTTATCTTATTTAATTATGGAGACCACTAACTGGACATGTATTAACCGATTTCATAGTATTATATTTAATGTAAAGCTATGAGATTTTTATAAAGTATCGAGAGAATCCTTTTATTGAATTGAATGTAAATCATGCAAAATGAAAGTATTCTGCATCGGATTCGCTTTAAGAGTGGGTAAGGTATACAAAACATTGTATCTGGTTTATAGCTAAACAAGAATAAGTAACTTGAAATCAAAAAATGAAAGCAAAACACAGGTCTGTTTTTCTTGAATCCTGTGTCCAAACCACGTTCGAATTATGCAATGGTGTCGATGGACCGGTAGACAAAGCATCTAATTAACTTCTGCAGTCATTGTTAGATTTCCTGCTTGCAAAATAGAACTAAGTTTTCTTCACAACCACGAACAAAAGTACACATTTACCTCCCGAAAGACAAAAGGTTTACTAATCATGCTTTTGCATAACAATGTGCCTGCATATCATTTAATGTTGAAGCAATGTACTGTCTCGATTGTACCAAGTATAAGTATCGTATTCTCAATTTTCACAAGAACCCTTATACATTATGTTTTATCGCATGCTTTGGTTGGCTAGCCAGGTCACTATCCGCACTTTCCGATTCCGATAAGTACCATTTGGAGTTACAGTCGTATTTCGATACTGCTTGTATATTTCAAACCTGGAATTAATGGAATGTGGATTTGAAGAGTTCAAAAAAAAAAAAAGAAGATATTTTAATCAATCAAGAGCATTTTCTCTCCTCAATAAAATTTCTTGTATAAAAAAAAAATACATTTCCATATTGTACACTAAAATATTAAATACAAAACTTATAGTTTATTGGATCAGTCTCTCCCAAGGAACATTTTATTCATCCCTTGCGATACCATCATATTATGGACGTGACATTTTATTTGTGTCCCATATTTTATGGAAAGCGTTCATTTGCTTGCTTTTGGATATGAATAATGAAGATATGTACGTATCTCCCGTGATCCCGTGTGCTAACCAGAATAAAGACTGAATTACGATCATATTTCATATTCTCGACAGGTCTCATTTAAATTACTTATCCACTTATATTGTATTTCAACTATTGATGAAACAGAATTAGCAGCAACTTCGTTTTTTCTGAAGTGAAAAATGCTCCATCGACTGAACAGCCCTAACGGTACACACACAATAAACTTGCTTGAGTTTCTCGCTATTTCTAATTCCTGAAGTTGATCCAATCAAAGCCAGTGTTATCGTTTGGATTTATTAGTGTTTTACGACCTGTAAACAGCTTTGGCCATTTAAGGACGAGCCAGATTGATAGAAGAAAGCCGGAGTATCCCAAAGAAAAACCACCGACCAGTAGCTATAGTACCCGGCGATTGTTTCACGTGCGTATCTCTCGAACCGGTAACACAGTTGTGGAGTGCTAGTATAGTGATCGTAGACTGCCAGAAGCCTTAATTAATGACGGACCGGTCGATTCAATAGGCTTTAGAATATCCCTATACACAAATTATATAATCTGTGATTAGACGTGGTTAATGTTTAAAACAATCCCATTATGACATCGGAAAATCTTATAGCCTACCTGTGTTGTTATTTTTATAGTACTCTGTCTAGAGTGGCAGTCACGCCTCGCTATCATGCTAATGTCCCGTAAGTGTGTCACAGCCTGTCTCGGATTGAGAGCGCTTGTCCGTAAATGATGCCATGTAGACACTCCGTATAAGCAGAGTAAAACTGTTAATAGGACAAACTTAGGTGACTAATTCAAAATCTTTATTTCATCTTGAGCATATACATCTCATCGATTCAAATGAACTTTTCATAATGTACATTCAAAATCAGCACAGGCTGTAAGATACAGGAATACATGGAATTTATAAT